TTTGCATCTTGACGGTAGGGGTAGGGTGCAAGGGGGGATGGAGCTTAGGTGGTGGTTTGGGATTCGGTTTGGGGCGCTGGTTGATTTTCGCCAAATTGACGGCTGGGTGTCTTGGGGAGTGCTGTTTGGGGTGCTCTTCAGGGTGATGGTGCGGGCGCTTTTTTTTTGATCGATTGACGGCCGGTTGTAGCTTGGGCCGCTTTTCGGGGGGGGGTGCTTTTGGAGGTGCTGGTGTGCAAGAACTGCTATCTGGGGTCTATGCTGGTGTTTTTTTTTGTTGAGGGGGGCAGGATATAAAATATACAAATACTTATATGTATAAATATACATGTATTTGTACAGTACGAATGTAGACTCGGCTGCTTTCTGCTCCCCAGCTCAAAGTTTAACTTTTAGTGGTTGAATGGAAACCCCACTAGTTGGTAAAAAGTTAAAGTCCTAACATCCAAACAACATGCAACAAAGTATGAATAATAGTATTAACAATAATAATAAGAATAATAATAATAAGAATACTCATAATCAAACACAGACACACACACACACATCCCATGCCTCTCTGCCACCAGTCCCAGCGCGGTCCGCCACTCCTTGCTCACCGCCGCAGCCGCCACGGCCGCTCCGCAGGACCACGCGTCGCAGGCGTCGGCGTCGAGTCGGCCGAAGGCGGCCATGGCCTGGTGCCACTGCTGGCCGTTGCCTCGGCTCGGTCGGGATGGCCCAACGGTCTCCTTGTGGCTTGGTTGCTGTTGACCCATGCAAAAAGTGAATAACTTTTTGGGGGTGTAGTGGAAAACTGCTTTGTTTCCCAAAAAGTTACCGTCTAAAGATCCAACCCAATAGCAGTCAAGGTGGCTTCCTTTCCAAGCAAAGAGGGTGCCGTGCCTTGCAACCACACGCGACCTATGCCATGGCTACCTCCGGACCCATCATTTGGTGAAGATTCTTAGGGTGTAGATTAAAGGCTTTCCCAATGCAGGCAAATGAATGAGTGAAGAGAGACGGAGTCATGAGTGAGCGAATGAACGAAAGGAAAGAGTGAAAGGAATGGAAAGGGATGTAGCCTTCCAGCTGCCAAGGATTCTATGCCTTATTCCACCTCCCACCTGTTGACCAAAGGAAAGAGAGTGTGTGGTGAGTCCATCCTGTGTCTGTTCCTTCGTGTCACTTGGATAATTCTCTGGACTCACCATCTCATGTCAGGTCGCCTTCATTCCTATCTGATGTTGGGATGAGATCCTGAGACATAAGAATGCAGCATATGGAAAGAGAAGCATATGACCAAGAGATGGTTAACAGGAAACGGTTAGTGAGAGACTGTGGGTTAATTCATGAGATTACATGCTTCTAAACCTATATCCTGTTAATTGGGTCTTAAGGAAATATTTGTCCATTAAATCTAAGATATACCTCAAAACCCATGGCAATCAAAACAACGGATGTCCAGGGAACACAAAGGATGCTTCCCGCTTTTTGGTCGAGTTTTCCATGGGAAAGACAGGGACGCATTCATGGTTTCGGCTGAGTGTCATGGGGAAGCCTTCCCCAAAAGACAGAAAGAAGGAACACAGGGTGCCACTGGGCAACTGGGTGGTGGCTCAATGGGAATCTAAAAGGGGCCCTTAGATGGAGCAAGGCTAAACCCTGCAGCTCTTTCATATTTTACTTCGAGTGCGCAATCCACATGGAAGATGTTCCATCACGCGTGGTTGAAGAAAACTCCCTTGAGACTCAGGAAGCAGGTGCGTAATGCGTGGAGGCCACAACACATCCAGGGGTCCTAGTTGGAAGAAACTCCATTCAAGCAAGGACGCCCCAGGCGAGCATCAGCGAGTTGTAGGCGACAATGTTCAGCTCTATGGATTCCGTTGCCATGGATGTCATCAGCAAAGATGCAAGCTGCCAGTGGCCGACCACAGTGCAAGCGTTGAGGCACGCATTGAAGGAGATGGTGTTTGCGCGAAGCAGCGATGCGTTCAGACCTCCGAGCATGGAGAGGGCAACCAACCAGCAACCTGCATTCCCACAAGCACTGATTGCCGAATTCAGGGTCACAACGCTAGCTTCGATGTGTCGCGCCTGAAAAGTGCCAAGGATGCTCAAAACAGCTTGCCATTTCAAGGCGTCTCCACATGCCCGCATAGCGCTGGTATATGAAATGCAATTTCCTCGTAGTCTGAGCCTTTCAAGATCTTTCAGCACTGCCAAGGCTTCTTGCCAGCGACCTGCGTTGGCGCAGGCATCAATTGCTGCGCTGTAGGAGGTCAAGTCGGCCCCTTGAAGCAAGTGCAACGCCTGCCGCCATTTCCCGCACGCAGCGCACGCATGGATGGCGGAGCCTCTGGAAATCTGGTCATGTCGCAACCGTCGGACCTGCATCGCCTCGAGCAGTGCAAGAGCATGCTGCCAGTCGCCACCTCTGCCGCAGGCAAGCATTGCAGAGCTGAATGAGGCAGCATCTCCCAAGACCCGACTGAGCTGCATCTCCTTCACAAACACACCAAAACCGCATAGCCGCGCTCAAATGATGCTGTGACACCTCCGCAAATGCAGTTCGAACACCGCGCGACGCATTTTTGCGTGTGGCTGGGCTGAAGTGCAGTGTTAGTGCCTTGCTGTTCCTCAAATGGAGTGTGCAAAGCATGGCCGTCCTGTAGCAGATGGAGGGCGCGAAGCCACAATCCACTGGCCGCCGCTGCGCTGATGGCCGAATTGTAGCTGTAGAGGTCCGGCCTGGCTCGCTGAAACGGGCGCAATGCTCAGGCTAGGTCCCACTCATGTGCAGCACACACACACACACACACTGGGCGCGAGCGATTGTTGTGGAGGTCCATGAAAGCCAACGGAAATTGTGGGTGACGTGCATCAACGTCCTAGAAACGGGACAATACCACTGGTGAACAACTGCCATATGCCGCCAGAACTAGCACCAATGAAGCTGGAAAGCCTTGCCCAGCGAGGACTTTGGCTCAAAAGCAATAAGCAAAGGTTCCATTTCTTTGAGGGGGCTGCCCAAAAATTCGAGACCTCCCTCTATTAAACCACAGGTGCTTCATTGAACCCATGCTTCTCACTTCCTGAGTGGATTAGCCACTAAAAGTCCAAACTTGTTGGCTGCCTCTGAAAGGCCCAGACCCAAACAAACGACGACCAACACGCCAGTTGAACTCAGGAAGTGGTTCAGACCCAGAAAATGACTGAAGTCCGTCTAGGTCCTCCAGTAGAGAGGTTGGGAATAAGGGTACCAACTTTTTTC